CGAGAAAGTTTCCGGGAAATTAACGAACATGGCTGAGCGCGATGTTTTCATAAAGCTGCCGGAATTCTGGGAGCACACCGCGGAGGCATGGTTCGCACACGTGGAGGCACATTTCGCCTGCCGACAGGTCCGTGACGGGGACCTAAAATACTACCATGTGGTAGCAGCGCTGGGGAGCTCCACGTCGTCCAGGTTGGTGGGATTCATCGCAGCCCCCCCACATCATGGCAAATATGAGGCGATTAAGGGCCCTTCTCCTTAAGACATTTAGGCTTATCTGCTAAGGAGAGGGCCCGCCAGATACTTGACATTCAAGGCCTAGGAGACAGCAAGCCATCCCAGCTAATGGAGAAAATGCTAAATCTGCTAGGGGGGGAAGATCCCCGTATTTTATTCACGGAGATTTTCCTGCGTCACTTGCCTCCCCGGGTACAGACGGCGCTGGCCAACACGGAGCCCCGTGCTTTGGCTGAGGAAGCGGATCGTTTTTTCCTGGCTACGCAACAGCCCGGGGCAGAGACGTTAGCCGCGACGCTCAGCGGCCCACCGGCAGTCAAGAAAGCGTGGCGGAGGCCGGACACGGCTGTGGCTAGCCGGCGTGGAGACGCCGGAGAGTGCGTTTACCACGCACGTTTCGGGACAAGGGCGAAGAGATGCATCGCTCCGTGCAGCTACAAACCCCCGGGAAACGGAGGGGGCCGGCGCTCAGTAGTGGCTCTGAGCGTCGGCGGCACGTGCAGGCTCCTCTTCGTCAGCGACAGCGTTTCGGGGAGCCTGTTTCTGTGTGACACGGGCGCTCAACGGAGCGTAGTTCCAGCGTCGAGTGAAGACGTCGCCCGTGGGGGGCACGGACCGCGATTGACGACGGCTAACGGCAGTCCCATTCGCACGTACGGCGTGAGACCTATGTGTTTGTGCATCGGAGGACAGCGTTTCAGCTGGGATTTTGTGACAGCGGACATTTCTTTTCCCCTCCTCGGAGCGGATTTTTTGTGTGCTCATGGACTCTTAGTGACGTTAAGAATAGGCGTTGGTTGATGCCTTAACGTTTTCTTCCCTCGTGTGCACACTTGGCAGCCGCAGCGTACGACGGGCTGTCAGGCTCGCTGTCAGGTGCAGACACGTTCTCAGACTGTTGGCCGAGTTTCAGACCTGTCGCTACCCACCTTCTCTGCGCTTACCACTAAGCATGGCGTGGAACACCACGTCACTTACCGGGGGGCCTCCTGTCTACGCCAGGGCCCGGCGGTTGAACCCTTCTAAGCTGGCTGTAGCGAGGGCGGAGTTCGCAACCATGGAGCGCCTGGGCATTGTCCGCCGCTCCGACAGTCCTTGGGCTTCCCCCCTGCACGTCGTTCCAACCCGTGCGGGGATTACCGCCGACTCAACGACGCCACTACGCCTTAAATCCGTGACAGGGGACGAGGCCGGGGGCGGCCCCGTCGCGGAGGTCGAGCCAGCACCACAGGCTGGTCCAAGTCCAGGTGAGCAGCCTCCACCGGTCCACCGAGACGTGCTCGGCCTTGCCACCCAGGTCGACCACCAGGTGCTTGTCCCCGTGCTCCAAGACCCGGAAAGGCCCATCATAAGGGGGCTGCAGGGGGCCTCTGTGCGCATCGTGCCGGATGAACACCTTCAGGACTTTTCGGCGCATCTGGCCGGTACGGGGGTGTTTTCCAAGGTGGACCTGGTGCGTGGATAACCACCAGGTGCCCATGCACCCCCTGGACATTCCCAAGACAGCAGTGATTAACGCCTTTTGGACTTTTGAGTTCCTGCGGATGCCTTTTGGACTCAAGAATGCCGCTCAGACGTTCCAGCGCCTGATGGATTCGGTGCTGCGGGACCTGCCGTTTGTGTTTGTTTACCTCGACGACATACTCGTCGCCAGCGCTTCAGTGCAGGAGCACCTGTCCCACCTCCGAGCCCTTTTCACACGGCTCCAACGAACACGGATTAATCAAAGTGCAAAGTGGCCAGTTCGGGTGTCGGACATCGATTTCCTAGGGGCACCGCCGTCACCAGGGCGGTTGGCGACACCTCTGCCAGCGAAGGTGGAGGCTGTGCGGCGTTTCCTCGCCCGCTCACAGCCCGGTCGCTCCGTGAGTTTCTGGGGATGGTGACTTTCTACCACCGTTGTGCATTCATCGCCCGGGCCGCACACATCATGCGGCCCGCTGTATGAAGCGTTGAAAGGGGACCAAGACCCCCGTCCAGGAGATCGACATGGACAGCAGAGGCGGACGGCGCTTTTGCTGATGTCAAGACCCGCGTTTGGCTCAGGCGGCCTTTGCTGGCACACCCATCATCTACGGCTCCCATCTCCATCACCACGGACGCGTCAGACTACGCGGTCGGCGACAGTGCACGAGCAGTGGGTGGAGGGCGCTTGGCAGCCGCTCGCCTTTTTCAGCCGCCAGCTGACGCCTAGAGAACGCAAATACAGGCGCCTTTGACCGGGAGCTCCTCGGACTTTATTTGGCCGTTGCGGCACTTCCGTTTCATGCTGGAAGGCCGTTGAATTTACGGCGTTTGTCGACCACAAGCCGCTCACCTTGCCACTGTCAAAAGTGGCGGAGCCTTGGTCGGCACGGTCAGCAGCGGCAGCTGTCCTACATATCGGAGTTCCACTACTGAACATTAACACGTGGCTGGCAAGTCGAACCTGGTTGCTGATTCGCCTCTCCAGGGTCGTCATCGGTGCCGTCCAGTTGGTCCTGGACTATACTGCAATGGCGGCAGAACAGGTCAACAGATCCGGCGTGCCAGGGCCTGAAGGTGGAGAGCGCGGGGCTGCGCTTGGAGGACGTGGTGTTCGGCGACGCGGGGCATTACTCTCCTTGTGTGATCGTCTCATACGGGCCTGGCGCGGCCTGTCGTCCCTGCCAGCTGGAGGCGTCCTGTGTCGAGGGCTGTGGCACGGCCTGTCACACCCCTGCGTTAACCTTCGGTCCGTTTGGGTAGCGGCGAAGTTCGTTTGGCAAGGACTGAAAAGGGACGTGAGGACTTGGGCCAGGAGGTGCGTGGCTTGTCAACACGCTAAGGTGCACCGCCACACGAAGGCCCGTTGGAGCGTTTCCTGGTGCCTGAGAGGAGGTTTGATCACGTCAACATTGACTGGTTGGTCCGTTGCCTTCCTCTCAGGGGTTTTCCTACCTCCTCACAATGGTGGACAGGACGACCCGTTGGCCGGAGGCGGTTCGCTCGTTTCGACATCAGCCCGCAGACGTTGCCCGGGGCCTTCATTGCAACGTGGGTGTGTCGTTTTGGTACTCCCCGTCAGACCATTTTCCTCAGGACAGGGGCTCTCAGTTCACGGTCCGAGCTCTGGACACGCTGTGTGGCAGGCGGTTTGGGGGTTAAGCTGCACAGGACTACCGCTTACCACCCTCAGGCTAACGGTCTCTGCGAGCGCTTTCATCGCTCCATGAAGGCGGCCCTCAAGGCCGGCCTTACGGACGGTAACTGGGTCGACAAGCTGCCCTGGGTGATGCTGGGCCTGAGGACCGCACCTAAGGAAGATCTGCAGTGTTCTACAGCGGAGATGGTCTACGGTCAGCCGCTGAGAGTTCCGGGGGATTTCCTCCCAAATGCATCGGCTCCCTGGTCGGCGTCGGCCCAGCGGGCTTTCCTGCGTGACGCCGCTGAGGCCTTTGTTCCGATCCCTACTACTCAGCACAGTACTCAGGTGTCCCAGGTTCCCGCAGAGCTCCGCTCGGCGGAGCACGTGTTCATCCGGCACGATGCGCACAGAGGCCCCCTGCAGCCCCCTTATGATGGGCCTTTCCGGGTCTTGGAGCACGGGGACAAGCCTGGTGGTCGACCTGGGTGGCAAGGCCGAGCACGTCTCGGTGGACCGGGTGAAGGCTGCTCACCTGGACTTGGACCAGCCTGTGGTGCTGGCTCGACCTCCGCGACGGGGCCGCCCCCCGGCCTCGTCCCCTGTCACGGATTTAAGACCTGTTGTCCGGTCCCTCCCCTTCCGGGGGCCGCACAGGCGGGAGTCACTTTTCCGACTCCCGTGCTCAGGAGTCGTGGGGGTCGGCGTGTCGTTCCTCCCCGCCATGCTGATTTTGTTTATGTGTGAATTCTGGGGGGCTTGTGTGGTGACACGTTATTGGACATAATTCACCTTGCTTATTGTGTTGCCACACGGACCCTTTAGTGGGGAACACCTGTAGCTTTAGCTGCCATTCCTGCTAGCTCATCAGGCAGAGCAGTGCATGTGTTAACCTCTCTGAAAGTAATGGATAATAAAGATTGGAACTCCTTTCTTAATACACCGCCTCCGACTCTCTTTTCACGGCACTACAGTATAATGTTTAATACAGTTAGCACGCTGCTAAGCGTAGCTGTTCTTTGTCAAACTGTGTATGTACTGTGTCGTCAACTTCGTAGCCGGAAGTGACCCGAGCTCTGTAACAATAACAAGCGAACAGCTTAAATACCGTGTAAAGACCATCAGTTTTAGCCTTTTCACATTGTGGAGTGCTTCAAAACAGCAAATCGTCTGCATGTTAAATTTATGAGCTTCATAGATGCAAGAACAATATTATCTTACCTGAAGCTTTGAGTGTCCAGCACTGTTTACATTCCCCACAGCTGCCTCCACTCTCCCCTTCAAAATAAAAGTCCTGTTCCAAAAACATAACATTTAAAGTGGTATGCGGATAGTTTAGATATATTTACACAGTTCTTAAGATCCTTCAGAGACTTCCACTTATTTAAAAGGGAATTTCGTTTATAGAGCTCACAGTATTGAGTTAAACAGTTAACTATCTAATGCAAGAAGATTTCCTGTTACTCAAGATTGTTACAATTATAATTAGTTAAATTATGTTTTCAAAAAATAGAAACTCCACCCACCTTCAACCCTTTAAGATTGTATTAATGGAAACCGATAATTGATTAACTGATGTTGACTTTTTACTGAAGTCTAAATGTATTTGGTTATTTTCACACATACAGACATATGAACAATAACAGACATCGATTCATCATGAGGTGTTGCTGAACCGGTTTTATTGTTCTAGGTAAAGATTTGTCAAAAATACAGAATCATTTGTTCCAATCAGAACAAAAAGACTGAAAGCATGCAGTTTGATAAAACATTTCCATGACATGTTAAAATCTGTTCAAAAGGAAGGGCACAGGCACATTATTATGAACACACAACTTTTGCATTTGAGTGAGATTACTTTTTTCCTTCCAAAAATAAACACAGAACAGTCAGAGTTTGAATGTAAGAGGGAAATGAGGGAATAATCATACTGATAAAACCCAGTAAGTAGTTCTCGTTAATGGGTGAGGAACAGCACCCAACCGTAAAATATTAACCTGGTTCCCTCGTTGGACCAGGATGTAGAAAGGTAATGGGAAACACTTCAGTGTTTTTAGTGTATAAAAATAAAAGTTAAACTACAGGCTGCATTGCAGAGCGCAACCCAGTCACTTCCAAATCTCACCTGACGATGAACCAAACGAGGAGCAGTTTGTCACAGCTTTAGCAGACTATATAAAGAGAGCATACATGTCTTAAACCTACATACAATATTTCAATCAAGATAAGATGGCTTTAACATAGATTAACAGATACAAGCAGGGATATAAAAAAGGACTTGAGATAAAACCACAGGATACCGAACACTGTAGAAACACCAGAGAACCTGCCCAAACTCAAAGATCAAACTCGTGACACCCAACTCTGCAGATAAGCACGAGTCATTAAAGAGCCGTCAGCAGGTAATGGCTGTAATGAAAACTGCCTGTTTATGTGCATGGACTCTTCTCTCTCAGTCTTCTTTAATCCCCCTTGGTCAGAAGGTCCTCTATGTAGGCGTCCAGCTCGTCGTCTGTGTTTATATCAATGTCCTAAAAGTGTAAAAAAGCAATATTAGTAACTGCAAACATTGACAATTATACAACAACGATTGCATTTGATAGAAAGATACATTTTGTCAAACTATTTGAAGATCTGGATGTCCTGTTTCTCGGACCAGGTGAAGCAGACTTACCTCTTGAACTTTTTGCAGGAGTGCTACAATGTTTGTTCGTAGTTTCTGTAGTTTCTCGTCCGCCTCCTTCAGTTTCACCTCATTGCTGTTGCTCTTCTCTTCAACAGCTTTGGCTCTGGTGTCAGCTCTGCTCTGGTACGAGTTGCACAAAGACTGCAGACCTGATTCATACTGCTGGAAATACTCTTTCTGAAAAGCAGGAGGAAATAATAAAAAGAATAGTAAGAACAAATCAACACATTCCCAGAACTGTAATATTCGTTAAGGGGCTTTCACAACTGTCGCTAAAGTAAAGTAGAATAAAACGTGAAGGGCATCGTGGATGGGGAAGGAGGCGGCAGAAGGAAGAAGAAAAGGAGCAATGGAGGTTGTGATAATGCTGGGGTTGTGCAAAATTGCACTAGCAACAGTAAGTACAACCAGAAGAAAAACTGGACCTGGTATAACATTTCCACCAATTGTTTCAAATATTTACAGTGACCTTAACTTGCACTCTCACCAGAAACCCATTATGACATTTGAAGAAGCACCACACTGTCAGCATCCTATTTACAGAATGCATTGCTCTTTTGGAGAATGCTTTTGCAGGCAGGCAGTCGTTAGGGCATGTGCTGCACAGAGGTGTGAACGCAGCTCTATGTTAATGCTGCTGAAGGAAATCAATTCCTCTGCAGATACATATTGCATTCTCTCAGCATTTTATTTATTTTAATATCTTAACCACACTGCATGTGCAAACCACACAATTTATTGATAGCATTCTTTTTTCTTTTTAAATCTGACCTTAGTGTTAGGGTGAAAATGAACAGATATTTTAACTCAAACTGCTGCCGAGGCAACAGAACGCAAATCTCACGCAGGAAATAATCCATTTTCCAAGCAAGAATTTCGTTTTTTGTGCATTTTATTTACTCTTTGTTCCAATAACCCAAAATGCAACAGACCAACGACTTCTCCTTTGACCTGTGCTTTTCCTGGTAAAAAAAGCATATGCTTGTGCTGGTGGTCTAACCCACCACCACCTGTCTCCAATATATAATAACCACCAGGTGCCCAGATCACCCAGTGATTATCGCCTAAAAGCATAAAGAATGACTTTAATTAACTAAAATATACACCTTAAATAATGATCAATTTAATATAAACAAAAACAGCTAGAAAGTAAATGTGTAATTAATAACATAAAGCACCAACACTTGTGAATATATTCAAGCGTTAGTTATCTTACCAAAGGAAAGGCCACCAACTCCTCAGCCGATATGCTGTTAACGTCGTCCTTTGGGATCCGAAAAGCAGGAGGGAAGAAGTAACGCAGCATGGTCCTGGAAACACAGAGGGCTCAGAGATCAAGCCACAGTACTAAGAGAGTGGCTGTCCTCCTTTAAACATGGTAACACCAGTTCATTGTAACCAGCTCACCTCAGCATGGTAACCAGACTATCGGTCACCTCCCGGCTGGTGCCTGGCTGGGTGGTGTCGGGCTCCATGGGGGCCGGCCCCTTCTCTGCCTCCTGCTGGGTGTCAGGGGTCTGAGAGATTGGAGATGGCGGCCGCATCAACCGGACATCATCACTTCCCTTGAACACCCTTCACAGACACAAACATACACGTATAGGAAATTAGTAATCTGACAAAGTCACCAGCATGTGCCCTGAATGCAGCTTAAGAGTCTCACCATCTGTCTTTAGGAGTGTTTCTAGGTACATAGTCAAACTTCACTTTCCAGCGAACGCTCTGTTTGTTCACCTCCACAGCAATGACTTTGCTGGTGTACCACTCCTTATTGACACGTACTTCAACCAGCAGCCCTTTATCTGTAGACAAATAAACCCAGGTAGACATTCTTATATCAGGTTATATTTTTTTGTTTTATTAGTGATACATATTTGCTTTTCTTGGCTGATTTCTTAAAAGTCAGATTTTTATTTTTGCAGAATCTGATTTGTTTTCTTTTTAAGAACTACAATTGACAGCATACACAACATTTCAATGACTTTAAATAACTCACATCTAATCCAAAACGGCACCAAGTTACAGGACTTTCTTTGTGTGTGAAGCTGTTCTTACATGGCTAATCATCTCTAAGCAGGCTGAAGAACTCCACACCACTGACAGGATGTGTGTGTTGCTTTGATATGACTAAATAAGACTGATCGCCTGCTGATCACTCCATGCATTGTTGGTGTAGATCAGACAATAAACTCACCTTTCTGAGCATTTTTCGTGTTGTCCCCCGTTTCCTCCTGTAGGGGCTTCTCCGAGTCCTGCACAAAAGAAGACAATCGTAAATCCCACTGCAGTGAAATAAATAGTGTTTACTGAAAAGAAAGGTTAAAAGAAAATATTTGCATCCTGTTAAGCACACTGTCCCGAAATTGACACCAGATGGACACACGAAGATGGAATTGTGAATTTCGCACGAAGATGGCCCCGAACTTGGTCAACAGCCGAAGCAAGTACGATGCCTACAGAAGGCCACACGATGGCACTTGAACCACACACGAAAATATGCTCGTAGACTTTACTGATGATTTAGAATGTATCCAGAGACTCAACGTAAGAGCTTGTGCCTCTTCGGGGGCTGCCAGCATTTAAACATACACTTTATTCTTCACTTTCTCCGTCTGTATATGTAGATTAGAAGATATTACTTATCTCCGTCATGTTGTTTCCAACAACTTCCTGTCAACAGCGTAAACTCGCCTTCAAAATAAAAGCATCTAAATAAAACAGGAAGTTAACCTAAATTACATTTAAGACATACAACTGCAACGAAAGTAACAAAAACATTGTAATATCCTTTTCAGTTTCACAGAACACAAATCGGGCTATTTACATAATATGTTTACATGATTTTGTTGTGCAATAAATGCAATCTCGATGTCATTGTACTATAATACGATGGCTACACGATGGCATTGCGAGGGCTTCACGTAGTCGTGTGACCTTCCTAGGACAATCGGGTAGCTTCTTGTTTCCTTCGTATTGTCTTCGTGAGGCGAAAAATGCCCGATGGCACCGATGATCACACGAAGATGACAAGATGCCCTCATGAGTGCCTTACGAAGGGCAAAATGGACACACGAATTCAACATGAAAATGAACCTTCGCAAGGTCCGTCGGCAATTTTTTGGCATGCCAAAGATTTTGCCACCGCTCACGAAGTTGCTGCTGGAGCCTGAAAAATTCCACCGGCGGTCATACGATGGCTTAAGATGCCCTCGCGAATGGCCTGATGTTATTACGGTCAGAGCCGAATTTGAACATTTCCTTTATCGTGTGTCCATCTGGTGTCAATTTCGGGACAGTGTGACAGGGGCTTTAAAGAAGGAAGTTAAAGACCCAGTTCACTGCAGGCAGTGGGTGAGGGTGTCATGCTTGATAGTAGTTGTTAGATGGAAAGAGATGATTGTGAGAAGAGAGAGTGATAATCCGACAGTACCCATAACAGCTGAAAGGTTAATTAATTATAGTTAGAGGTTATGAGAGCAGATGCAGCCCGGCTTGATTAAAGGGTAGTAGAGAGGGACCGAACAAAGCTACCTTTGCTTTAGCGCCATGCCGCTGCATGGAAATGGATTCAGGAATAGAGGTCGATGTGGTTGGCTTTTGTTGTAAAGGAGAAGAAAGTCCTTTCTTCTCGGGCTCGGAGAGGGTTTTAATCTGCAAGGTCGAGAGTATGGTCTGTTTGGAGGTTTTCTTCCTTATATGGTCCTAATTTCAGTAATTTTCCCAGACACCCAACACAAATACTATGGGAAGGAAATTAACCCATTTGATTTTTTCAGTTTCTCACTGATCTGGAGAGATAAGTAAAAGTCACATAATTTAAAAAAAAAAAATGAATGCCATTCTCATACACATGTGTAGCAGCACGGTATATGCAGGAATCCTGAAGTCAAATGTAATACCTTTTAAGACCTTTAAGACCTTTTACAGTTACGGTTACATTGGCGGCACACTTTACCTCACGTTTACTATATACAGTATTGATTATCCTTCCTACTACTTGCATTCCCCATAACGATGTTGTTTAACAACCGGCGTAAACGGACCTTCGCGCGCTATCAAGCAGTGAGCGTGAGATGTCCTGTTCAGATGACGTCAAACCCAACGGGATGCCATAAATAAACTACACAGAATCACACTACACACCTACGCAATGATTACACTCAGGCAGACTGTAGAATACAACCTCTTTGGACAATTTATATACTTATTGAAAACAAGCTACAAAATGTAATACCTTGGAAAATGCCGTTTAATATTTTTTAATAGCCTTAACTTTCGCTAAATTGATTTATCAACTTTTAATACTTTTTTAAAGACCCCGCGGACCCCCTGTGTAGGTACACATTAGTCTTTACGATCTAAACTTTAATCAAACTGCCCCAATGCTGCTAATTTCAGGCTCCTAGGATCTGTCCTCTTCATTTCCTCGCTGCCTAAAGGCGAGTCCTTCACAACACTGATGCACACAGGGTGATTCACTTTATGAGGTATGACCTGAATGTGTAATTTTATATTCTTTAGATAAAGGTGTACAGACCTTTGAGCTACAAGCAAAGTCTGTTGTGTGTTTACCTCGTCCAACTTGCCACGTTTGGGAGGCAAGGACTTCTCTATCACTTTCCCACGGTTACCAGCTGCTGCTGCAGCTGCTGCTGCTGCTGCTGCCATCTTGAATTTCTTTGTCCGCGGTTCTTCTTCACTCTCCACCTCACTGTCATCATCCTCATCCTTCTCTCCTCTTCT